AGAAAACATTTTCAGAAGTTGAAAGCTCTGATTATTAACTCCCACAAGAAAAGGTTTTTTTAAAAGAAAAAGTACCTGGCTAATGAGCTGAGCTGGGCTCTGCACATCGGCAAGCCGTTCGTCTCTTGGTTCAGCTGGCTGTGAAGCTGTCAGTTGAGCCAACCGATGCGATATCGCAGCGGAGCGCTGATGCAGCGCTTCAGTGGCTGGATTCCTCGCGGCAGCTGGTGGAGCAGCTAAAGGTCGGCCTTCATCGCCCACCTAAAACGTAAGTGAATTCTGGATGATAAAACACCAAAGGGAGGACTGACATCAACAGGGAGATATCCGAGACTGCTCTTGCTTCTGGAGAATTTATTTCGAACCATTCGAGCAAAATCTCGTGCATCTTCGGAGGATGTTGTCTGAAAATGGGTTCATATATGCATCTCATCTACACTACAGAAGGCTGAACTCACAGGAACAGCATATTCTTGCATAGGATGCTTTAGCTTATGCTTCTTGGCTGTCCTTTGACTGAAGAAACAGTTCTGGCAGAGATCCAAGTTGAAACAACGCAAACAACGATAACGCAATCCCACAATAGGGAACATCTTGCAAACGTTGCACTTCGCCTGATGTTTGGCGAACTCAGCAGTTGCTAAGCGATGCATCACCGGCAGCCAAACAACACTTTGTGGTTCTTGTTTTAGCCATTCGAGGAATGGGCCGATAGAGATGGAAGGAGAGAGTCGAACGGTTTCGAAACACGACCGTACTGATGGCTCGACATTTGAACCACCGAAGGCAGCCGCTTCACCGACCAGTTTGGGGATCTAGAAGAAGAAAATACATTGCGCACGAATTTTATGGGGACATTAATCTAAAGTGTCACCTGAATGAGATCGTAAAGAAGTAAAGCGACATGCTTCTGATCTGCTTGACCATCTTGAGCCACTAGGTTGAAGAGGACTAAAAGGACTAGCAGATTGGTTGGCAAAGGTGAGTCAGTTTCACTGTAAGACCTAACGAGCATTTTGGGATTTTTCTAGCAAACTATCGGTTTTCAGCCTATAGTCTCTTCAGAAGTTGGTGATAGAGAAAAAAAAACCACGAAAGTTCTATGCTTTTTCTTTTGAGTTTTCTCCAATCGTTTCAAACTAATCCTCTGATCCAATGTGACGGGTAAAAGTTTATTGCAGGAGGGTCATGGAAATCTTTCTCAACCGTTATAAATGCTAGTTATAATGAACTTCCATGTTCTCTACACAGATTAAATAAAAATAATAATTAAGATGTATAAGTTTATTAAGAGAGGAAAATTTTTTTCCTTACATCTGTACTTATCCTCCAAGGGAGCATTTGAGAACACAACTAAAGCGATCTTGAAGGACAAGACGCGCAACAGTCCATCACGCGATCTTCAAAAAAAGTTACGAGCACTCAGAAATGTTACAGTATTACATATACAAATCATCACATAAAAACTTACGGATCGAAAAGATTCAAAAGAAAATTTATGCAGAGATCAACGGCAAGTGCAACACTTCGCACCATCTGTGGATGTTTCGTATGGAGTTGCTCAAAAAGTGGGAGCAAACTGCTGACCATTCCCTCCAATCCAGGAGATTCTTCGTTAGAGAGTCCAGCAAGGCGAGAGAAGCACTGAATCAGGTAAATGGGCAGACAAGGTGGTCTATGACGAGCAGCTGATCATACCTTCTCAAGCATTGGAATGTCAGCAAGATCAAGACATAAACGTTTTTGTAAAGCTCGCAGTTTCATCGCAGTACGGTAAGCGATGAATTTGACGCGATTGAATTGTGACAGCTCTTTGGACATCTCAACCCATACGGGATGTTCCCATTGGGTCTTTTCCGTGGTGTGACTAAAAGGCGAAATGGAGATGCTATTAATAGTCAGCATAAGCATTGCATAATTAACTTTTTACAAAGAACAAGGTTGTGTAGGTTGATTCAACTGAAAGCCTTGCTCATTTTCTTATCCTTAGCTTTCATCCTATCATCATTTTCCCATCAAGAACACTGTTTGCCATGCAAAGTTGTGTAGATGCTTTAAAATTAAGACTATTCAAAAGCAGCGCGTGTCTGTCTGGTTTCAAGGTTTTTTTTTTTCGAAGTTTCTTATAAGAGATTTGAAAATTACAATGATAAGATTTGATTTTAGGAAATAAAAATTGAGAAAAATAGAGTTCAAACTTTCAACATTTCGTGTCCAATTTTCTCGCAAAATTTGCGGCACTCAAATTGGTCTGAAGTGTTCCTTGGAGCATTCAAAGTTACAGAGCTTAGTGAAAAATCCAAATTGTAAAGGCCACATAAGAAAGACAAAGTTTTCCTGATTTTTTCAAAAGATTAGCTTTGGAACAAGAGAAAATAAAGGATAAGCGAGTGTCAGTTCACTGAGAAAAATTGCAATTGAATGGCTTACTCGATGTAATAAGGCAACTGGTTGGTTTTTGAAATAGCACGCTGCCATGGCAGAATCACACTTTGATTTAAGAAGTGCTCTGATGAGGGCCCAAAATCCGTAAGCGCATTGCGTAACGCAGCGCTTCTTACGCGGAGCG